ATTTGTCAGTTAAAACACACACCCGAATCCATAAGTGTCCTGCACAAGTTTCACTCCTTTGTAAATGGTGTATACAGAAGCTAATCTGGGATCAGTTTATTGTACATAGTGCATCTGTCAGTCAGCGCTTACACATGCATTCACTCGTTCAGAGGTTGCATATGAAAGGCGACGATTGACGCACAGATTTACTGAAAAGAAAGTGAGACATAATGGTAAAATATGAGAGAATTTTGGCAAAAACGAGAGAGTTTACATAAATGCAGTGATCAGGAAGTGTTTGTGGAGAAACAGTTTTGCGAGATAATGCAAAACATCTTTGCAAGATATTGCAAAACATCTTTGCGAGATAACGCAAAACATCTTTGCGGGATAACGCAAAATCTTTGCGAGGGAACGCAAAAACCTTAGAAATATGTTTTTCTAACACTTTTTTTTTCTCCCACCCAGTTTTTTTTTCTTCCACCAATTCTTTCCCCACCATCACGTCCTCTCCGGGTCTCCTTAATTGTGAGATTAGTATCATAAACTGTATCGCATCATGAGCCAGTTGAATTGTTACAGCCCTAACTTTTATTGTTCCTTCACTTCCTGCTTTGCTACTGTTCGGACGTCTTTGCCTACTGCTCCGCTCTTCGCACTCTTGCTTTTATATCTTATACCCTTAATTTAACTTGAGCCTATCAGCACAGTGCTCAAACAACACAGCTTGAAGATCAGCATCTATTCTACAAACTTTCTGGAATATAGCTTTACTAACAAGAGGGGAATTACCGTCTAAACAATCCTCCAGCTACTAGCTGGGTGCTTACATTCCGGAGATGGGAAAATACGGCTGTAAAAATGCCTCTGGACCGGATTAATTCAGATTCTCACTGTTGTACAAACTGCCACAAACTTCTACAAAAGATTGCGGTTCTTGAAACGAAGTTGCTTGCGACCCGACCAGAACTTCAGCTTCATTGTGGATCCTCTCAGCACACAGCCGGTGAGTCCCATAAATCTGTTCCTGCTACTGTTTTAAACACAGAAAAAAAGAATAAAGAATAAAATACTCGCGGGGTCAGATCATACGCTGCCGCATTAGTGTCTTCTACCCCAAATACAGCTCGGACTCAAATACAGCTTCAGAACAGATATGAAGTTTTGAGTAATATGGGTGAAGAATCCCCAAATGCAGTCATACAGAGATCGCATGATTCAGCAACTAATTCTGCATGGAACAGAGGCTCAAGGCCGACTAGACACCGGCATTCTGCTCCGATCACACCGGAGATAAGAACACTAGTCGTAGGAGATTCAATAATCAAGAATTTCAGGAGCAGATCTACAATGACATACTGCTTTCCTCATGCAACAGTTTCTGATGTAAACAAAGAACTTGAGGAAATTCTGAAAAAGCACAATACTGCAAAACGGATTATCATCCATGTGGGGAAGAATGATATTCGGAAGGAACAGTCAGAACTGCTCAAGAAAGATTTCTGTGAGCTCTTGGAAACAGTTGAAAGATTGAAGGTTCAGCCATTCATAAGTGGACCACTCCCTGCAAGAGGGACAAAAATGTTTTCACGGCTTCAATTTCAATCTCTTCTGGAACCAAAGACAGCTGTTTACATCAGACGGCCTTCATCCAAACAAACTTGGTGCAAAGGTGCTAAAGGTCAATACTTTTTTCTACCTCAATCATCCATCAGCTGTGTATGCCACTGAACTGAATTGCAAACACACACCTAGCAAATGTCCGGATGACCACAAGACCTCAAATCAGCTCCTGAGTGGACTTGTGGCTGACGAATCACCCAAGGACAGTGATAATGCCACGCAGTCAAAACACCCAATGTTGATAGAGACACTATCAGTTGCCCTCTGTTCAACACAGGCAGACTGTGACGCATCAGAACAGCATCAAGTCTCGTCACTCAAAAATAATCCTCAGGAAAACATATTTCTGCAGACAGAATCTCCAGATGCACAGCCTCTGTCACCGGACACGTTCTCATTGTCACAATGTTCACCACTCTTGGGTTTTTCAAAAAAGATAGAGGAACTGGTGTATGCTGGAACTAAACTTTCACACTCCATTGCCGCAAGCCCCCATTACCAACCAAAAAGCGGCCTGCTCCACAACCACCTATGAGCCCATCTGAAAGAGCCCTCCGATTTTTGCCACACCGCCAGGGCTCAAACACCAACGCCCCATCTTCAGCTGGTGAACACAAGAGCTCTCTGTGATGTGTGTCGGGGGCCTGCTTAGATAACAGTGTCTTTATCAAATGTTTTCAGAGCAAGCAGGAACCCAGTGTGTCTGTAGCTTTCTCTAAGCAGATATGTGTTGTGTTAAGTGACAGAAAACCAAAGACTTCATCAGGCTGTATAGCAAATCATTCAAATCTGGTGTCTATTAAATGTAGATCTGAGACTTCTCTAGAAAAAACAGCTAAAACCGTTAAGTTAGCACTTTTAAACATTCGATCACTCAACAATAAGTCACTTTTAGTCAATGATTTTATCAACACAAATTGCCTTGATTTTATGATTTAAATGAAACTTGGCTACATGACAGTTGTAGCGCAGCAGTTCTGAATGAAGCAGCTCCTTTAAACTTTGACTTTTTGAGTGTTTGCAGAGCTAATAGGAGAGGTGGAGGTATCGCTGCCCTATTAAAAAAATGTCTACGAGTGTAAACAAGTGTCATTTGGTGACTATTTGTCCTTTGAATATCTGAGTATAGCACTGAAAGGTGCTCCACGTATCTTACTGACCATTATCTACAGACCTCCAAAATATTCTCCAGCTTTTATTGAGGATTTTACAGAGCTGTTATCAATAGTAACCTCTGAATTTGATTATTTTAGTATTGCTGGGGATTTTAATATAAACACTGCTAGACAAACTTTCTTTTCAAGCCTTATAAACAGCAACTTAAATAATGCTCGCACACTATTTGTAACAATAGAGAGACTCACAACCCCCCCCCCCTCCCCCCAGTTGGATTCCAAGTGAACTACTCTCTGAAAGCAAATGTAATGAGTTTGCTCTTTTCTTTACTGATAAGATCAATAATATCAGAAAGGAAATCAGCTTATCCAATCAGCCAAGCTGTGTCAAAATCAAACTAGCTCAACCACAACTTAAGAAATCAGACATTATGTCTGATTTTATGGCAATTAATGGTAAAATCTTAGAAGAGATTGTGCAAATATGAAAACATCAACCTGCAGTCTTGTTAACCTGTTTAGAAATGGATCTTCTAAAAGTGGTAAATGCTTCAATTCTTTCAGCAATTTTTCCAAACTCACTTAAAACTGCAGTTGTTAAACCCCTCTTGAAGAAGAGCAACCTGGATAACACCCTATTGAGCAATTACAGGCCAATCTCAAATCTCCCTTTCATTGGTAAAATCATTAAAAAGTTGTTTTTAACCAGGTTAACAAGTTCTTAAACTTCAGGGGGTGTTTACACAATTTTCAATCTGGTTTCAGAGCACATCACAGTACAGAGAGCGCCCTTATAAAGATAATCAATGATATACACCTATATACAGATTCAGGTAAAATAACAGTGCTGGTACTGCTCGATCTCAGTGCTGCATTTGACACTGTCGATCACAGCATACTTCTGGATAGGCTGGAAAACTGGGTTGGGCTATCTGGCACGGTCTCTATTCCAAATCTCCTACCACAGCTATGCTGATGACACTCAGATCTACCTAGCCTTACTGCCTAATGACTACAGCCCCATTGACACCCTCTGCCAATGCATTGATGAAATTAACAGTTAGATGTGCCAAAACTTTCTTCAATTAAACAAAGAGAAAACTGAAGTTATTGCGTTTGGGAGAAGAGATGAGATTCTCAAGGAAAATGCGTATTTTGGCTCTAAAGGTCAAGCAACAAAAAATAAATTCAAGAATCTTGGTGTGACTCTGGAGTCAGATCTGAGTTTCAACAGTCATGTCAAAGCAGTCAGTAAATCAGCATACTATCATCTCAAAAACATAGCAAGAATCAGATGCTTTGTTTTTAGTTTAAGATTTAGAAAAACTTGTTTATGCTTTTATCAGCAGCAGGGTGGATTATTGTAATGGACTCCTCACTGGTCTTCCTAAAAAGACAGTCAGACAGTTGCAGCTCATCCAGAATGCTGCAGCCAGAATTCTGACCAGAACCAGAAAATCAGAGCACATCACATCTGTCCTCAGGTCTTTACACTGGCTGCCAGTTACATTCAGAATAGATTTGAAGTATTATTACTGGTCTATAAATCACTAAATGGCCTAGGACCTAAATACATTACAGATATGCTCACTGAATATAAACCCTGCAGATCACTCAGATCTTTAGGATCATATAAACTAGAAGTTCCAAGAGTTCAGTCAAAGCAGGGTGAATCGGCTTTTAGCCACTACGCCCCTCGCTGCTGGAATCAACTTCCAGAAATGATCAGATGTGCTCCAACATTAGGCACATTCAAATCAAGACTGAAAACACATCTGTTTAGCTGTGCCTTTACTGAATGAGCACTGTGCTGCGTCCGACAGATTGCACTATTATGTTTTTCTCTTCTTCATTCTTTTATATCACATTTTACCTGTTTTTGTGTTTTTTTTACTCATTTTTATTATTTGTTTTTATTTTACTTGTTTCTTTTATTCTTGTTTATATAAAGCACTTTGAATTGCCACTGTGTATGAAATGTGCTATATAAATGTATGAAATGTGCTATATAAATAAACTTGCCTTGCCTTGCCTTGCCTTCAAGAATGACCTTTTCATGTAGCAATAATCTATAGGGGGTCGCACACTGAACCCAGAAGAAATCCACATAAACACGGGAAGAATATGCAAACTCCACACAGACATATTTCCTGGCTCAGCCAGGATTCGAACCAGTAACCTATTTGTTATGAGGCAACAGTGTCTAACGCAAAGCAAGAAAAATAGTTTAATTGTGTAATATCTGTATTTATTCATTTTCTCATTTTCATGTTCTTACAGATTCTCTAAGTGGAGAGAAAATGATCATTGCATATGTCTTCTGAGACTCTTCATCAAAGCAGCAGAGGTTGAGACACAGACAGGGAAGCACATGCTGAAACTGTTATCCTCAGTCTGCACATACAGATCATTTCCACATGAAAAGTCTGACAAAATTAAACAAAGTAATTTCTTGCTGGGTCTTTGCTCACATGTGAAGAACTATGAGACCCAAATACGCAGGAGTATCCTTCCAGCATTACAGTCAGTTTTCCAGACTCCTGATGTCTGGATCATAGATCTCTCAGAGAGAAAGACCTCTGTCCTCCTGGAAGTGCTGAAACTACAAACAAAGAAGAAACCAGTAGAGCTGAGAGGATGTTCAGAGAAAAAGTGTGAAGTGAGGAGATTCCTCAAGTGTCTGCCCTTCATCTCACAACTCAGGTACTGAACTTTAGCATATTTGTTTATTTACATGTCAAGTAATATTGCTGAACTGTTTTAATCTCTATATGTAGGATATTTATGTATATTCTTTTTTAAATAATTATTTGTAATGTCAGTAATATCGGTGTGATGTCAGGGTTTCTATGCATTTTGGAAAACCTTGAAATTTACATGATTGTTTTACATTCATGGAAAGACACGGAATTTAATAGAAATGGTTAAATGTCCTGCAAATAATCTTTTCATTTATAAACTTTTTAAAACTTTTTGAATAAACTTTCGCATTTTAAAGTTTTATTTGAATTAATATTCTGTTAATAAACCTAGATGTAATGACAGCTGAGCTAGGCCATGACTCCTGCTGCACAAATTGAGTTATGATCCTCTGAGGTCTGTCTTGATTTCCCTCTTAATTCTTGTTATATTTTTGTTTCATGTCACGAACTTTCAGCAGCAGTTTTAACATGAAGTGACATGACATCTGATGTACAAATGCCACTGACACGTCACTGAGTGTAGGGACACTTCTGGTGGCATGTCCGGTTTTCACTATCATGTGGAACTCAATAGTGGCATGTGTAGTGGCATGTGTAGTGACCTGTGTCACTCAAGAATGCCGCACTGCATGTCACTGCAGTGACATCAACACCCGGCGAAGCTTAACGACACTAATCAACACTCGCAAAACCTTATTTAATCATTACGCAACTTTTAACATGATTTATTGTGTCGCAAGTTAGTTTTTATGCTATTTTAGTTTTTGTTTTTTTTGCTACAATATGGACATCTCTGTGTTTAATTAATTAATTAATTAGTTTTATTATTTAAATAATTAATTAATTTATTTTTATTTTAAGGTATTTAAAATAATATGCTATAAAGTTATATTAGAATAAAGTTATAATAAAATGCATGTTGTAAATACATAACATATAAGAATGTAAGATAATAGGTGTCATTTACTTAATCATTTAAAAATATTAAAGCAAAAAGAAACTTATAAACTTAATGTGCTTATAACATACTTATACTGACACCTACTGGCACGTCACAAGATCATTGACCTACTGACATTAGTGGGATGTGTCACTCACTAACAGTGGCATGTACTGACATTAGTGGCATGTAGGCCTAAATTATTTCTTAATTTAATTGTAGTGACACTTTAGATCTTTGTTGGTACAATACATGTCAGTGAATAGCTTGTATTATTTTGATGTATTTTATATAATTTACTTTAAAAAATGTAAATACATTTAGAACTGGTTAACACTTAAGCCAACATTTTTATTTTTTACACCTGCAATTTAAAAGCCGCTTTTAGACTAAACAGTTCTAAACTGCCACAGCCCAATTTAAAAACCATGATCTACATCTAATAGTTAACTTGTTAATTAAGTGGATTGTAAGCTTTCTGGTCTTTAAATGTCTATTTTTTTCACCATTTCTTTGCTTATTTTAACACTACAGTCTGTTGTGTTACACCGCAGACTATGAGTACACAGCATGTCTAAATTTCGGAACACATCATGCAGCATTTTGATTGGTTACTGAAAGAGAAACGTGTATATGACATGACCTGACATTGTTAAAATCAGATTTATGATATTATTGCACACACCTAACCGCTACAGCTTTAGCACAATAAAGCTTTTGCTCCATATCAATTAACATTCAGATGTTAGGCTACTATGGTAGCTTGTATTGGTAGTTTAATCTGCAACTAGTGTATTACTGTTTGTGACCAACTTTCATCATAAAATATCTGAAAAAATTTGATTTTGAATAGATTTTTTTTTAAAGAGTGGGAACCCTGTTTATTTATCAAAAATATACATAATTTTCTTTAAAGGGCACCTATTTGACCCCTTTTTTAATATTTAAGTTAAGTATTTTGTGTCTGTACAGTTTCAGCTCAAAACGCCCATCAGATTATTTATTATACTATTCAGAATTTTGGAATTATCTGCTCTGAACACACTGTAGCTGTTTTTGTGGCCTTTGCCTTTAATGCTAGTTCTCCCTGCCTACCGTTTCCAAATGCCTATCAAAGTGTGCCTCAGTTTCTGTCTCGGCTACATTAGGTAAACAGCACAGTGACAGACACAAAAAAGCAGATCTCTCGTAACGTTTGTGAGAAATACAACATTAAGAACTAGGGATGTCCCGATACAACATTTTAACTTCCGATACGATACCGATATTGCAGCCATCAGTCCAATACCGATATAAATCCGATATCAGCACAAATTATGAATACTTTTAATTTTACCTATTTTGTTGAGTCAAATGTATGAAAGGCTTGATCAAACTGGGAACAAGTCAGCAACAGTAAGTATGGAAAAAAACAGCCAGTTTATTAACTATTGGTTGCATAAATGCGAACCTTTTACATAAGGATATATAAAAAGAATTAAAGAATACATATTAAGACCCTGAAAAATATCTTAACTGAATAAACAAAAATACATTTTTAAAGTGCAAAATGCTAATTAAAGGTCACTTCAGTTGTTCATTTTTTACCACCAGCAAAGAGTAGAAACTGCTGAGAGCAGAAACATAAGAAAAAAAATTGTTAATTGAACAACTGCTAAAGGTTCAGTATCCAAAATTTCAATTTAACACACAGCTTTTTGATAAATTTTTGATCAAGTTGATCTGAAAAATATCTTTCACACTGGGAAGCAGAAATAAGTTATTGTTAAGTTAATAAAAATGTGCAGTATGGTTAGTACAAACATTTACATGATCAGAGCTATTTCATCTGTGTTTGTATCATAAGAAGATTATGGCTGTATAAATGTTCCCAAACATTTTTAATTTTATAATGATATATATTGCACATATTATATTTAACATAAAAATACTTGCAGAGGCTAGATTGAAACACACCTTTTTTCCACAGCACTTGAAATAATGTGACTTTTAAAAATAATTTTGTTTATCAAAATTCATTATGTTTGCACAGATTCCACCCTACTGCCCACATGGGAAAATTAAACAATGTAAATAACTGCAAACTGATGTGCAAAGCTGACACTGTTTATCAGAGCACTTTATCTTTTTGGGCTTTTTAAAGAAGAGTTAAACATGGGAATGTCTCTAATAAAATTTTCCTTCTGCCCCAAAAGTAATACCATTCTTTCTTTTAAACTGTAATGGTCATCAGCAGCAGAATGATTTCTTATTCTTATTTAACAGACAATAAAGACAACAAAACTGTTTAGCATTTTACATGACACTGTTCCTTTCAGAGTGTTGAAGTAAAAAAATGAAATAAAGAATAATAAATCCACTTTTGTTACTCCTACTATCCATGTGCACCACTGACAGCTCTCTAATCTTGGTGCTGCTGAGAGATTGAGATTGAAAGTTTGCGTATAAAATAATGTAGAAACGCAGCTAAAGAAAGCAGAATCCGGGACATGTTCGGCGATTTAGAAATCTTGGATGAATGCAATTTTTACGTCCCAAATAGAGGACATGTGCGGGAAAAAGATAATGTATTGTAGGTTTTTTTCCCCATGTGTCCTCGCACTCTTCTCAAAGCTAAAGTCAGAGCAGGTGTCCAGCGCGTCTCTGTGAGTCTGCTGCAGCAGCAGAGCCCGCGAGTCTGGCGGAGACTTTTCTCTCGCACACAGAACCGGGCCGCTGAGGTAAATTCTTATGTGTGGGAGGCGCTGGTGATGAATTAGGTATCACACTGGATGAACCACGATATGCCATGACCAAATTGAGGCTCGCACAATGTGTGCTACGTCGCCATTCTGTGCCTTATGTTGCTTAAGCAGCCTTATGCAAAACAATTTAAAGATCGCTTGACGTGAAGTGAATAAACCAGTAATGTTAGAGATGTGCCATTGTTACTAGCGTCAGCATGTGCTACCGTCACAATAGATTACTATCGTAATGCACCATAACTTAGTGTGAAGAGCATGTTAAATCTAAGAGACTTTGCTAGCAAGCAGTGTTGTGATCACGTGGGCTTTGCACGCTGTCTCTGGAGGCTGCTGGATAGAATAGCTGTAACGGAGTTTAGAGAGTATCGGACTGCTTATATCGGAGATTTTTAGCGCAGTCCGATATAGTTTTTTGGACTGATATCGGATGAATTTCCGATATCAATATCGGATCGGGACATCCCTAGTAAGAACTTCACCAATGATTATTTGATGTATTTGTTATAGAGTTCATGAGTCAATGAGAAAGATGAGTCACACGCAATGTCCTTACAAAGTTCATGCACACATACAGTGGACACACACAGGGCGCATTTAACCTTGCACTGTTTTTGCATGGCAAATTTGACGGGATACATGTTAATATCCAGTGCTGTAAGGATATCTGTTATGTTAATATACAAAATAAACCTGATTTAATGTCCACAAATGGATAGTGAAATGTTGTCTTTTATAATTGTACTGACACGTGGCTGTGGTGATAATTAAAGCTTAAGTAAATCGCTGTAATTCATTCAAACATGCGCTGTTGTAAAAACATTTTAAACTTGTAAAACTTATTCTTGATTATATTTGATGATTCTTGATGATCACAGAGAGCTCAACAGATTTTTTAATCCCAGTTGCTTTGCACACATCCTGTCTTGTTGATATGATTATACACGTTACTACAGAGACATGTTATTTCGTTGCTGTCAATCAGTTTGGTGGGTGGGGAAACTGCACTCTTACGTCATGTTTTATTTTATTGTCAGGTAATTTAAAAAAAGAAATGTATTGTGTTTATATCAGCCCAATTTGACTGTGGACACACTACCTACACCCAGTTCTATCCATTTGTAAGCAGCTTACAAATGGTGATTTTCATCATAGGTGCCCTTTAACTTTGGATGAAAGTAATAAGACTAAAGGTGGCATAAACACACAAATGCAATTTTTTTAGATTTGATTTTATTTACTCTTTCATATGTACAAGCACACTGGTATGATCAGAATGTTTAGAACGCACGTCATCAACTGCTAAATGCAAATATGACT